TAAGACTGGTTGACTGACTGCCGGTTGGTCTGGCTTTGTTGGCCACTAAGAGTCATGCATGATGAGTGGTTTATACCACAAACACTTACTGCAGCTTTCGTCAATTTTCTTGTTCGAACAAAAAAAAAAAAAAAAAGAAAAACGAAGCAAAACAAAACTTCCGTGATTCAAATTCTTGATTAATGATAAGATTTTTTTTCGTTTTGTTGCTTTACCTTCTCTTTCTTGGCACTGGGGTTTTTCATTATTCTTCGAATTGTGTTAAACCTTTTCAAACAGCTGTTGACTGACCTCTGATTTTTCTTCCTCCTCTTCTCTTTAAGAATGTTTCACTATGAAGAACAATGCTTTAAGGTTTATGTGGAAACTATTTCACCACTATTTTGTCTCCCATTGCCTAAGATTCTATTCTATACTTATTTCCATGTGTAGAAATGTTGTTTCTTTCGTAAGTTTTCTATAATCTTCAACTACTATTTGCATTTACCAAAAGGAAAACAATGTTGTCCGGACTCTGAACTCAGTGTGTGCAACGTGACAGTACGATAATCGTATGGTAAAACTGTGTCTCTATGCGTTTCAAGTGCGTGTGCTGGAATATGGTTAGGTGATGAAACGGAAAAAATCAAAACAAAGAAAAAAGAAAGCCAAGATTCCAACCAAGGAAAAAATAAAATAACGGTACAAAACACGGTGACAATAATGTGTGTAAAATACAAAATGAACTTTAAAATCACTTTTATTGTCTAAGAAATTTCAGGTACCGAATCAATATAGATGGCGCATCCATTGACTTATTGTCATTTGATACTCCCCGGCAGTTACCGGCGGGGGCTTGTAGATGACAAGTATTTTATTCATGCAGAATTTGTGGACTCTAGAAATTCTTAAAATATAACATGTATACAAGGGACTTTGTTTTTGATGATAAATTATAGAATCCCACAAACCAGAAAAGTTGATCCATTGAAACTGTCTCTAGAATTTGTATACCTTTAGCCTATGGACGTTGATTTAAATATATTCTAACTTCCTTTGTGGATGGGTCAATCAATATACGCTGTATGTTATGAAAGTTAAAACTTTTTGTGAAAGGTACCGAACCGATTTCGCCTATTTTTCAGATCTCCTAAGAATGATGCAAATATTAAGAAGTGCAGAATACGAACGATATCAGATACCCTTTGCTTTCTATGATGTAAATTATTTCTATTAAAAATGTTGACCCAATTTACAGGTAGGGTCTAAACCAGTTATTTCGATTAAAAATATTTTGACTGTATCATATTATATATACCTCTGTAGACAAATGCCCACCCAAACTTCTGGTTATATCTAATAGGTAATAGGCTATAATGGTGTGAGGTAGTAGATGTAAAGCAACAGGAAACCAACCATTTCCCGAGGTTTGTTGACATACTACGTTTTATCAAACATTGTTGGGTTCCGACCTTCGCAACATACTCGGCAATGAAGTAGCAAATGAATTAGAAAGTTGCGCCACAAAGACAATCGACATAGATATAAATCATTCCGTGGAGCCATATCTAAGAAACTTATTTCGAATAATAAAGGAACATCACTCCCTGAAGGCTAAATGTGTCGACATCATCCCGGCACGTTATGCCGGGATGAGGAGATGACTAATACGTTCGAACATTTTCTCCGAGACTTCCCAATGTTCTCCAGTGAGGGAACTAATCATTTGAGAGAACAAATTACCCATAATCTGACTTCCTTCTAGGATGTAGAACTAGCAATTATTCTTCAACTGGCCAGAAAATTAAAGTGGTTTAAATAACACGATAGTGGCTAAAATAACACGTAATAATAAATAATTAAAATTATATTTTCAACTCAACTTTAATTCTATCTAAGCTATTCGCATAAACAATTCTTCTATACATTTCATTCACTCTCCTCCATTCCTTCTTTTTTCGGTCTCTGAGTGAAGCAGTTACCAAATAAGTCAACCGTTCCTAAATTCCAGTGTGGTGATTATATACGTCAATATTCGAGCGGTCCTGAAAACATTCAAGCAGCTTACACGAAGAATTGTATTAATTCTTAGAATGCAGAAAGGTTCTCAAATAACACAAATTCTTAATTTAGCTTGGATTCTAATTCATCGCAGTATCACAGGAAATGGAGCGGCGGATTATCGCCATAAGTTTCTCCATGGTCAACAATGTTAAACACCTAGAGACCGCTTTTAAAGCTCACTTCATACCAACTAATTGGGAAGACAGTATCATGGATTATTGCAGGTTTGCGATTTTGAAGAAAAAAAAAAATAATGTTCTAAACACTCACATCCATATCTTCGGCGGACTCAATGCTCATTCCTCATCTTATAAAATGTTTGTGCATAGTGCGGAAAAGGCTTGCCTATCCCAAATTATTGATTTTGGTTAACAGCATAATTTTTTTTTTTTTAAATTTCACAAAATATATAGACTTATTAAATGAAACCGATGGACGATGTCAAGTTTTTTTCGCTTCTCAAAAATATATATTTTTATATATAAATAAAAAACGACTACCACATGAAGTGTATAAAAATACCTAATTAGTTACCAAACTGCCGGTTATACATATGTATATATTATATAGGGTGTGATTTTTTCATGTCAGTCATTCAACAGGAAACATTTTTACTAATCTTAATTAGGATGTCCTTCTTAGGTCTGTTCGTTCACATGTCAAAAGGTTGTAAGAGTAATAGGCTTATTGTCCTAGCAACATAAATATACAAAATATGAAAACAGCAAGAAAACATGCAATACGATGACGACAAACTCCACCAACAATCAAATCTAACAAAGTAAGCATGTAGGAGGTTAATAATTATGTCAAGTTCTTAACGGTGAAAGTAAATAAGAAATAACCGGCAAATCCGGCTTTCCGTTGCCTAGGATACCAAGCGAATATATATAAAAAGAAAACAGAAAACTACAATTGCGTATATTAATGGGGACAATATAAAAATCCGAGACAGTGGGTAATATTTATTACATTGTTTACTGGAGGAGAGGTGATATTTGATTTTTTTGATGACAAGTACAAATTGTGTGGAGATGGTATGAATTTTCCCTGGAAACTACCTTGACAATGACTACCAGATGTCTTTCAACTAGTAACAGTTGCGGATGGATTTGCTTCAGATTTTTTTTATTTAGCATTTCACGCTTAAAATTTTGGCCTGCTGATTCTTTCATGGAAGTTATTTATATTGGACCCCGATTTAATGAAAAAAGGGGAATATTAGGATAGAGCAACTCTATTGACTACTTTTGACTAATAACTAACAAATAAAGAGTGCTGAGAGGATGAGGAGATGACAAAAACGGTTGTCTGTCAAAACTAAAAATATACCGTTGCAGCAGGAAACGCTTACATGCCATCCAAGTGTGCATCTGCCACCACTTGGACTGAGATCGTGGCGATGCTAATGTATCCAACATACGTCACAAATAGGTCTGCGCAATATCGCAGAGATATTGTGACTGTGATAGCAATATCTGTTATGGATACATGAGACCGAACTCTTTTAAGACTTTTTTAAGCCTAAATAGATAACCAGCCAAGTTGAAAATTAACTGCAGTGCACATATTCCACTGTGGGCGTCAAGACGGATGAATAGTTTCGATTGAAAATTTAGTATGAAATGAAAAAGACTACTCAATTTTATGGATCTTTCTGAAAAATATATATGGGATCTGTGGCTATATTTTAAACTATATGCAACAAAATTGACCGATTTTTGTTGAACAATTCCGTTACATATTATATATTCAATGTTACGCATATGAAGTTTATCCAAATCAGGACCAATTAAAACCAATCATTTCGTAAGGACGAATCAAACCACAGGCCGCGAAGATAGGCCGATCGCTAAAAATGTTCATGGCGGTCGAGGGCTACTAAGCATATAATAATATTTGATGTTCACTGCTATATACCTAATTATGAATAGAGACCACAAATATAAATCAGTCACATTTGGAAAAGACGAAAGTGGCTACAAAACAATGACCGACGGATTTTTCACTGCAATTCAGGGAATACTATTTGTTTACAAATAAATTAAAATAGAGATAACTAAATTAGTCATGTTCGCAATGGTAATGTTTTGATTATAGAAATCAATTTCATTCTAATTGTGTATGTTGCGTGCTTTTTTGGTTTTAGTTAAATTAACACCAAATCCGTAGTTGGTCCCCATTGTGATAAATGAATTCATCGATAAATTCAAATATGCAATTCATGATCACTTTTTTCGATTTGCCTGAAAGTAAAGGAAATTCACACACGCACATATACCAACACAAAACAACCCTTGTATATGAATATGCTAATAACAACCAAACTCAAAGAATAAAACGAAGCCATCCAAGCTTTGTAAGAAAGACCCGTTATTTCGAAAGGAAATAAAATCAAGAATTTTGATCCAATGGCATTTCCAAATCTATCCAATCCAAGCTAACAATCATCCTCGGAATATTAACAATGTGTAAGTATCGCGAAAAAGGCCTCGGACGAGTCGAATAAATCCAATTAAAATCGAAATAGTCATCGAGAAAGTCAACATAAGTGAAATGGTTGAAAATGTGAAAAAAGAAGGGTTAAGGCACGACTGTTTGTCTGCCTAGCATGTCCGTCCGTCCCCAGAAAGCATTGATTGTAAGAACGGATGTAATGTAAAAGAAAACAATGCATTGAACATTCCATAGCGAAGAGACAAACATGGAGATAAATGATGGTGGTGAAAAAAGGTCACTACTAATTGTTCTATTCTATTTATCTTCAAGTCAATAACCTAAAATATGCAGACTTCTAATGTACTACAATTTTGGTAATGGAGACAAGTGCTCACATAGTTTTGGAATAAACAACTGATGCAGATTTGCTTTGATAAGGCATCCATTACTTCTGGAAAACACAAAGAGTAAAATATTCAACAATATCTATAACATATTGCAATAAATAAAATCCATACCATTAAAGATTAACAACATTTGATTTCGAAAGCTGATTTCTTTCCAAGCTCTCTTTTTTGCAATTTTATTCGAAATTTTCTTTGTTTAGTATCAAGTGGTGGCTGCTGTTGGTGCTGCTCGGACGGACAACGATATGGATGACGATGAGGAACGGTGGTCGTGTTGTGTGCCTGTTTTACTTTTTTCTTCTTATGTTTTTGTCGTATTCAGGAGAATTGTATGTCAAATTATTGCTTCCATATGTGTTGCTGCTCTCTCTCTCTCATCAGTGCTGTTGAGCTTGCATGTGTAGTGAACTGACGGACATTGATTTTGAGACCAGCATTTTATTTTGTCTAAATTTCCACATGTTTTTACGCAACTTTTTTCAATTCTGCACACAATTTGTTTAATATGCTATTGAGACACATTTTAATTATTGTTTGCACATTTTTCACTAACTATTATAATTTTGTTCCGCATTTCTTTAATTTTGCAAAAGAAAATAAAACATCAAAACTTAACACCTAGACACGCACACACACAAATCACCATGTTCGAAAGAGTCAACGTCGTCATTGCATTTCGAGGACAGAGAAAACTAATTGTCGACGCCGTTAAATTACAGAAATCTAACGGCGGCAAAATAAAGAAATTTGATATGGGACCTTTTTATACCCTCCACCGAAGGAAGGTATATTAATTTGCCATGCAGACCTTATTATATATATAACGTAGAGCTTTGAAATTTTGGGCAATAATCCACATTTCAGATAATTCAGATACATTTATTCAAAACTGTTTTTTACCTAATGGGGGGTATTGAAAGTTCTTCCCGACATTAACTTGTTTTTTTGTTTACAAAATTAAAGGTCACAAATGTAATATTTAGGGGAAAATTTGGAACAAATTGAGTGTAGCTCCAGCTGGATACTTTACAGCCATAGACATGTTACGTCACCTGTGTTTATTACCCAGTTCGGTTCACTTGTCAAAAAGGCTTAAATTAAGTTCAGTTCAAGTTGACGGAAAATTCTGAAATGTTTACCGAAAGTAGGTCTTGTTATCCTAAACGCAGCGACATATTCTTTCGATACTTCCCGAGATAGTTGCTTTGTTTACATAAAAAACATAGGTGAAGTTACATTTCTGTGGCTGTAAAGTGTCCACACTTTATACTTTTTTGAAAGACACTAAAAATTTAAAATATGAAATATTTAGACTCAAAGAAGTCTCAGAGTGAGAAAGAAAATATGAATTGTTTTTTTATTTCTTATAAATTTTGTAAGAAATGCGGTATCTTATCTTTGCACGCCATTCTTTAAAGAACCCAAACACATTAAATCTGGAGTCACTTTTTTTATGAGGGGTATATACCGATTTTTGTCTACCAAGAGTTTTAGTACTACAAATACTAATTTTATTGCAAATGTGGCTTAACTTCAAAAATATTTTTCAAAATCGCGTAAATTAACACAAATAGCAAATAAATAATTTTTGTATTTTTTTAGTTATAGCCATAGTTGTCTTGGCCGATTTCTAAAAGTTATTTTTGTCTTCTTTAACCCAAGATGGTTGCTAGTAGAATTTTGGATAGATGTGTAAAACCATTTACAGGGTTTGACCCACCATTCATATATGCCATATATTAAATATTCTGTAGACCTTAGACGAATTCTTTGAAACTACTCTGTATGACCCTGGATTTCCACGATGATGAACACAGATGAAATGGGATATTTCCAGTAAAAGTCTAATTGCTATGTATCTGTAGGTATATAGTTCATTTTAGCATGTTTAAAGTATAATTTCTCAATTAAATTTTCAAAACCATAAACTGAACGTAATCACAAATCCGTCAACATTATACTATAGGTTTTGGAAGAAATTTTGAATACTAATTCTTTTAGATTAAACAGCGGCGGTTAACTAAGTTCAATTAATAAATATGCATACGTACTGTGATAGGTGTATGAAAAGGTATTCAGATTTTAAATATGTTTTATTGTTGCTATTAAATTAAAACAAAAAAACAAACAAATTAAGTCAACGGTTGTTTAGTTTTCGTAAGAAAAGAAAACAAATCAACGGCGGCGCATTACAGGGCCTCTGACAGCTGACTTTGTTTTCTGCTGTGAATGTTCTTTTTTTTGTTTGGATATCGAAAATGAGACTTAACTCTACACACACACTCACACTTATACGAACACATACATTTATATATAGTTGTCTCTTTTCGTTTCTTATAGTTTGGAAGAGGGCAATTGCACATTTCTTATTGTCACTGCATTTGACACTTTTTCTCTTTCGTAAGGAATTCCCAATTTTTTTTTCTTTAAAAAAATAATATCCGAAAAATAATATCGTCAACGAAGTCATACAACTTGATTTGTTTCACAAATTTGTATTTTTTCTCTATTATTATTTGATATGGTATTTTTGCAAAATATTCTTTCAACACACACGCTCGAACACAAAAATTTTGCATTATCAATTTTCACAAAGCTCGCACATTTTGTCGTGTTGTGGTGTGGCGCTGCTGCTCACATACTCATATTTTTCTGATAGCTCACTGGCTCGGTCGTCTCACCTTCAACTTTTTTCATTTCATTTACGTATACAAAGCTTGGGGTATTTTTTCTTCACTCTAATTTTTTCGCATTTCTTCAATTTACACTTACATTTTTTAACTGTTATAGTTGTTGGCGTTTCCTATATTTATTGATATTTTTGTAATTATTTTATTGAATTTATTTTGTTGTTTAGTTAAATAAAAAATAACTATTTCTGTTTCTTGAATTTCCGTGTGCCATGAATTTTACTTCGCCATTGTGAAAAAATTGTATGGAATTTCGAAATTCGAATTCTCGTTTGACATATTTCGCGTTTGCCAGGGTGCAGTGTTGATAATTTGGTAGTAAATCCACGTTGCTCTACCATGCCAGATGTTTTTGGTACTATGGCGCAGAGTTGTATGTTGGAATATTAAAATTTGCTTTTTAGAGTATTTATACAATTTATCGTACAATCAGTTTTAATTCATGAAAATAAGTGAAAAACTTATTATAACGTATGTTTGGTAAAATTTGTTACCTATTTTGGGACGTAATAAACTTTTGGAGATAGAAATAGATTTTGGTTAGAAAACTTGAAATTTCATTACTTTTCTTATTTATTCAAAAAATTAAATTGAATTTTGCAATCGATTTTCTGGATTCCTTTTTGGTTTTATGCATGGTAGAAGAATATAGGTAGTCTCATCGACGCAGCTGCTGGGACAATGAAACGTCAAATCAGTTTAAGAATAGAAAATCATTGGAATTTGTAAAAATTGTTGAAAATGCAACTTATTTGTGTCGTATATGAACACATCTACAAATCTACTTACTTTTGACAAAACATTTTAAAAATGCTGACATATCAATGTTCTTAAGCTTTGATGCATCTACAAGTATTCTTCTACCATGGTTGTATGCATGGCACAATTAAGAGAAACATCGATATTTAAAAATTATTTTCTTTTTTCAAAAATATGTAGATTTTTATATGTTTTCTTATACAGCACCAATCGTATCGGGGTTAGTGTCAGAATAGAACCCTATTATTTTTGGAGTTGATCGCAATATGTTTAGGTGTTGCAATGGACCATAATACATGGACCAAAATACATAAAACAAAAGAGTTTTTGGTTGACTTAGTTCGATTTCGGCCCCAGGCTTCTTTGTTCTTTTCCGAAGAAGCCAGCCGATGACTTAAGCCAGTCAGAAAATCGTTTTATTTATTCTCACCTTTAGACTTTAGGGCTGGGCAGACGAGTACCATTTAGTACGGTCAACCAACAATATATAGCGGATAAAATAAGCCACAACTTTTATGTCAAAAAATACGAAAATTTCCACTAAACCGCGAATATTTGTAATCCTGGCCAAATCACAAATACATTAAAAGGTCACTTCTGACTATTACAGTGATGCTGATGACCAAGATATGGAATATAAGAAATAGATCTTAATACCCTGTTTACGTTAGAACTTTTTGCAGGGTTATAGTACGTTTATATATATGAGGGTTAACCCACTGGATTTGGATTTAAATTGTCATATCCATTACTTTTACTTCAAATAAATCCTCTCAAAGAAGGTTAACCCTACAAAAAGTTCTAACGTAAACATGGCATTAACCTACATCAAGAGGATTTATTTGAAGTATAAGTAATGGATATGACAATATTAATCCAAATCTAGTGGGTTAACCCATGGTACAATGAAGAGAAGGTAGGTCAACTTTGAAAAAATTGCAAGTATAGAGGTCTACCTGTTTGGCTTGTAATGTCAGAATTAGTATGAAAACAATAAAAAATCAAACAACTTGTTGCATTTATTTTGAATAAATGATTGAAAAACGCAATAACTGAATGAAAGGTCAAAACTTCTTTTCAAAATCATGTACTATATATCTCTAAAGGATTATTTCGCTACAAAAACTCTAGATTTTGTCGATGCATATTTTGAAATAAACATTTTGAAAACACCCGAATTTGAATATTTTCTGAACAATTTTTTGGTATTGAAAAGAAAACACATACATAAACAAATAAAGATGACATATTAAGCCAAGAAAATAAAAAAATTGAAATCATATGGTAGTTCTGCCCTACCTTGAATTCATTGTACCATGGGTTAACCCATGGTACAATGAAGAGAAGGTAGGTCAACTTTGAAAAAATTGCAAGTATAGAGGTCTACCTGTTTGGCTTGTAATGTCAGAATTAGTATCAAAACAATAAAAAATCAAACAACTTGTTGCATTTATTTTGAATAAATAATTGAAAACCGCGATAATTGAATGAAATGTCAACACTTCTTTCCAAAATCATGTACTATATACCTCTAAAGGATTATTTCGCTACAAAAACTCTAGATTTTGTCGATGCATACGTTGAAACAAACATTTTGAAAACACCCGAATTTGAATGTTTTCTGAACAATTTTTTTGTTATTGAAAAGAAAACACATACATAAACAAATAAAGATGACATATTAAGCCAAGAAAATAAAAAAAATGAAAATCATATGGTAGTTCTGCCCTACCTTGATATCATTGTACCATGGGTTAACCCATTTATATGTAAACGTACTGTAAGGTGGAAGTACATAAAAAGTTTGAAGTCATGGAAAACGACGGCAGGATTTTAGTGCGGCTCTGTAATCCCTTTACGAAATGTCACAAAATATGCCTAGCCATGACTGCAAGCTTCTTATGTATTTACACCTTAATAATTCTGTTTATAAGTCAAGAACCGTTGAACTGATTTTCACAATTCTAATCAACTCGGAATGGTATCTTGCCAGAAAAGGATAAAATCTAAGAAGATAGAGTAAAAATTTTCTATAGTGTTTCAACATCCCGCAACACTATGTGTTGAGGTTATTATATACAGGTCGCAATTACCGCCCGATGTACATTTTGCAGTCGCTCTACAGTTCACGATTTGGAGATAAGGGGGCTTCCAACATATTGTAGT